ACTCCATTGTATTACCTTTGTTCCTTTGTCAAAGATTAGTTGACTATTTTTATATGAATGTATTTCTGGGCTCTATATTCTGTTGCATTGATCTCTTTGTCTATTCTTTTGCCAGTGCCACACTGTCTTGATTACTGTGGCTTTCTAGTAAGTCTTGAAGTCAGGTAGTGTCAATCCTCCAAATTTGTTCTTGTTCTTCTTCTGTATTGTGTTGGCTGTTCTGGGTCTTTCGCCTCTCCATATAAACTTTAGAATTAGTTTGTTGATATCCGCAAAATAAATTGCTGGGATTTTTGTTGGGATTACAATGAATCTGTAGATCAATTTGGGAAGAGCTGACATCTTGTCAATATTGAATCTTCATATCCATGATCATAGAATATCTCTCAATTTATTTATTCTTCTTTGATTTTGGTCATAAGATTTTTGCGGTTTTCCTCATATAGATTTTGTATATATTTTCTTAAATTTACATCTAAGTATTTCATTTTTGGCATGGCAATGTAAATGCCATTGTGTTTTTAATTTCAAATTCCACTTGGTCATTGCTGATATATAGGAAAGTGATTGACTTTTATCCTACAAACTTGCATAATCACTTATTAGTTCTGTGAGGATTTTTTGTCAATTCTTTCAGATTTTCTACATGGACTATGTCATCTGTAAACAGAAACAGTTTTATTTCTTTTTTCCCCAATCTGTATATGTTTTCTTTTCTTTTCCTGTCTTACTGCATTAGCTAGACGTAAATTGTTTTTTACAAGCCTGCAAGAGTCATTCAAGCTACATATTGGATCCAGTTTCAGGTTTTCTAGGAAGTTAAATCCTGAGTCAGAGGAAGTTGTCTCCATATCAGTAAACTTTCCCTTATCCAACTCTATATTCTAACTATCCCTCTTTCCCCATGTAAAAGACCCTCCAGATTCACTCCAAGACCTAGCTTTCCAGTTGATGCTGTCACATATTACATCCTGAAGCTCAGTCAGTGTATAACTCCTTTCTTCCTTTAATTGGATAACTTTCCCCAGTTGGTTCATCCTTGCCCTTTGTTCTTGGTTTGGTGTCCAGGGCAGTCAATGGGAGCAGATTTTTGAGAAGAATAGCATTTTCGTGCAAGATTTCCATCTTGGTTGAGGCATCTTCATAGTCTTTAAGTATGGGATGCAGGGAGTTTTTTCTATCCTCTAACAGGTCCACAAGCTTCTAATGAATCTGTGGGTACGAGGATGTCATGTGCATTCACTAGGTATTCTTATCCCAAGTCTCAGGCTCCTGTTATTTCCCTACCAGTAACCTGACTGGTTGGAATAGGAGACTTGCCAGCTTGCAAATTTATTCTTCCCTGAAGTTCTGCTACTTTTCAATTGAGTCCTCTACCTGGCCGTCAGTCGGGTTTCTCCTTTGGCTATAGGGGATATGGGTTTCTTTAAATGCTGCCTTGGAGGCTCTCTGACTTTCACATTTTGCTTTAAGTTGGTAACTGGCAAATTTTAGCCTATCATTTTCTCTTTTCAATGCATCAGCACCACTTAGCAACAACGAAGCAATTTCAAAGTCCTTATAAGTACTATTTCCCTTATACCTCTCAAATGCCAAGAATATTGCAAAAGCCAGTATATGTACCCTTGCCCAGTTCACCACAGGTGCCTGTACAATGGCAACATAATTGCAGCATGCCAGGGCTTATTGACATTTCATATACCGCTGTGACATGATCCTCATTGGTATCTAGTCTGTATGTGACCCAATTCTAGAATCTCATCCATAGAGTCTACTTTCTCAGACTACTTTATGTACCAACTGTTTTAGGTTAGGTTTCTGAGAAGCAGATCCTGAACCAAAGATTGGAATGCAACTTATTTATTTAAAAAAAAATGTCCCCTGGAGAGAGCAATAAGAGAGTGAGAGAATTAAAATATGGAAGGAGAAGGAGATAAGACAGGTTGCAATTTTGGGTGAACTTCTAGGCTCAGCCTGATTCCATGAGGCATATACATTTTACATTGGAGTTTGTTTTATCTTGAGGCAAGAAAACTGGACTTCAATACTTGCCCACTGGCTGTCAGTGTTGGCTCCTAGCCATCTTAAGGGATTGTGAACCTGCAGGCACTTCTGGCTCTCCATTTGGGCAGCCCTCTGAAGGACAAATAAGCACTGATTGCAGCAAAGCACATACAATCTGAGGGATAGGTACAGTGGATAAAGGAATCTGAGAGCATCTGAGTAGAGAGCTAAGAATATCCATTGCACATCCTCTGAGAGGCTTGCCGTAGCCCAGGGAAACAAGGTATCATCACACAAAGTTTTTACGTTCCCCCAAACCAATCTGGATGTTTCTAGAATTTCCCCACCCCCTGATGTTCAACCTTGAGTTTGGAGAGAGGCAAGAGTTAGACATCACTCTCTTCAAACCCTTTACCCTTCTCTTACTCTTCTCCAGTTTATCTCAGCACCAGGCAGACTTTTCCATTTCTTCTTAGGGAACTGTCCTTGTATCATATCTTTCTTCTTCTTCATTCTATGACTTACCAAAGAAATTCTGTGATTTTAAATCCCCCCTGGCATGACACCATATTTTCAAAAACCCTATCTCTGTATTTTTAAGAAAATGATTTTCTCTCTCAATAAAGCCCGGCTCTGGCAAAATAAAAAATGTTTCAAACTTATGCCCCGTGTTGGCCTGAAAATCCTATTTTGAAACTTCAGGCCAAACAATGACTCTCCTGAACTTGGCCGAGTATTGCTGCTCCTTGAAGCAATAGATACCACTGATTCAAAAGGTAGTGTTGCCATGGGGGCAACTGCCACGAACAGAACATTGGTTTGCAAGCTCAGTAATGTCATCCCTGTCAAACAAATTACTATAATGTTATTAAACATTCACGATTCTTCTGCACTATAACATTCTTATAATTCTGCTCATGCTCTTCAGATTTTCTTTTTTCTGCTCAGTCAGGTAGTGTCAGTTGTCTTCTCTCTGTTCTCTTTCTTTTCCTCTTTGCTTCCAATATCTCTCCTAAGTCATCCCACATGCCTCTAGTTTGTTTTTTCTAAAGTGTTTGGGGCTGGAGAACCAGATACACAAGGATGTTGGAATTGTATGTTTAAGAGTTACAGCAATTTAGATGAGACACTGTCTTCTTCCAAGGCATCACATTAATTAATGACTTATTTGCGAGTCCTCATGACAGAAACTCCAGCTACTCAGAGCTCGGTGTGTGTGTGTGTGCAGATGCATATGTGTATGTTTTCAGTTCTTCTAGGTGCCTTTTAATGAATGATTGTATTGAAGTTGCTAGAAATATGACCATCTATAAGTGAGGAGATTCTATTCTCAAAAAAATGATATCAATTATTCATCCAGTCTGCTCCATCCTTCACAAATTAGAGAAACTTAAACAAGGAAAATTCTGGAACTTTTCACGTCAGTCTTTATTCAAAAACCAGCTTGCTATAGGTTCTACAAATTTGCATGCCCTTTAAGACAGAAATAAAAGATCTGGTTTAATTGCTCAGAGAGAGGCAGAGTTGGGGTGAAGAAAAAGGGTATATAGAAAGCTCTAGGAACACAAACGGGCAAACCAATATAACAATAAAATTAACAGGCCATGTGTGAGGCTGATTATAGATATGGAGTCTATCGCTTTCAATTAACCAGACCATATTGAGACATCTGGTGCTCTGAGTGTATCACACCATTACCACTAGTTTCCAAACGAGAGGGCTGCTCTATTTTCTCAAGTTTTTCTCTAGAAAAATACTTTTATGTTATTCAATGGAAAGCACCACATCCAAGGTTATGTCATGAGCTGGCTACTGTTTCCCCATTCATATATGTGAAACTATTGTTGTTATGTTGCATTCCTGATTTATATATAGGTTCTGAGGAAACCAGAGTAAGTTTAGATAATTTTATGACTGTAGGTTGTGATAGTGGGTGCTGGACTGGTGGAATGGAGGTGATTTTTGAAGGTGTATGGAAGTGGCAGGGAGACTTCTGCTACTCTGGGTTAGAGCTCACAAGCCTTTTGGTTGTCCCACTTTGCTGTGGCAGGAATCCCTCCAAGGGTATTCCTGAATGACAGACATCTGCCTCCGCATCAAACTTTCTAATGATGAGTTCCCTCAAGTTGCTCATTTCACTGTTGGATGGTTGCACATGGTTGTCAGAAAACATCTTTCTGTGGTGAGCTAAAATCAGCCCCTTACCTCTCCCCATCTCTTTTATTTCTCATGTCTGCTTCCAGTTCTGGGATGGAGCAGCTGAGGATCAATTTATTCTCCTCAGTCCTTCGATTACTTAATAATGTCTACACTGTCCTTGTTCACATATAAGAAAAATGCAATGAATCTAGCTTAGTTTATTCCTTTGGAACTCCTGCAAATGTTTTGTTCATTTTTGCAATCTTGTACTATACTGGAAAAAGTCAGGGCCAGGGTAACCAGAGGACAGTTTGTGCCATTAAAGATTGTTCGTAAAGATCTACTTGCCTTTTGTCACTAACTTTTGACCAGATGCTCCTTCTCATCTTAATCTTTTTCACAGATATGGAGCCCACGCCCCAGAGAGAAGGTGGCAAGGGCTGCAGGCTTCCTTTTTGTTATTTACAGTTAGTTCCCCATAGTGCTGGAAGCTACACAGGAAGAAGAGAATATTGATGTTCCCAGAAAGTTTTTCACAGCTGAGCTCAGAATCTTGCAAAACAAAATCCAGAGGCTTGATAAATTTTAATGGAAAAGCTTAGCATTCAACTATGAGAGATGGTTAAGACTGATAGTCTGGAATGTTAATATGTGAACATTAACTAAGGTATTTATTTTGGTTATATTTCAGAATGATAGACTGCTTCATGGTTATTCATTTAAAGGAGTACACAGTTAGGAAATACTTTATTTTCAGAGGATTCACGCAGTGAGAAAGTCCCTGCCTATTAGATTACTGAGAGAAAGTACAGATTAGTGGAATTCTATCCCTTCATCACTTCCGTTTGCTTTAACAGATCAGAGAGAACGTTGACACGAGTCATGCAAACTACCACGGACATGCTGGGGTCCAAAGGCATTAAATGTAAGTAGAAAGTATGACATTAGTTTCTTGACATACTTTTGACATGAAGTTCACTATCAGGTCACAGACTTGAACCTGCTAATTGTGGGTTGAGCTGGTGAGACCTGTGTGGACGAGTATAAAATGCTGTAACTACAGGACTGTTGGATCCATCTGCTGATTTTACTCATGTAATGACATGGATGTGGATGCATATAACACTTTGTTTGTCTAAAAAGCCAACCCCTATTCTGTTTCTTGATAGACCCATGCAGTTTAAAGCTAATGAATAACTTCAAAGGTCCTTGAAGAGTACCAGTCTGGAGGTTCCTGTGGGAAGTTTGTTTTCTTACATTTCCTTCCTTAACCAGATTTTGCTCTATTTTCTTTTCCTCTCTTTCCTTTCCTTTTTCTTTTTTGCCTTTAGATTGCCTCCTTTATTCCTCTGCTATTAGTTCCAACTTTTTAGTTCCCTCTGAATAGAATCACCTTCCAAGTGTGCTCAGCTCCCTCCTTTGCATTACAGGTAGGTCTCTCTGAGTCTCCGGGACTCCTGAGCTCACCTGCCTGCATCATGACTGATGCATCTCTGAGCTTAACGGGAACAGTGCCCTCTGGGGTGTCGTAGAACCATTTCAATTGGCAAGCAGAGAAAAATAAATACCATAGAAGGGGTAATAAAACGATTGGCTTTGTCATTTTGGAAAAGGATTTACTATAGGACTTATCAGGCACAGAGATGGGCTATAGGTGAAACAAACAGTGGGTGAGCCTAGATTTGCTGGCCCAACATCCCTCAGAACGGCAGGGAAACAAAGGTGGCTTTAAGTGGAGGTTCTAATCTCTGGATAACATCTTTCTTGTAGTTGAAAGAGACAGTTCCAGAATGCCTGCTTGTCGGGAGGAGGAGGTGGAGCTAGGTTGTAAGTACGTTTTGGCCTCCATATCTGTAACCTGGACAAGTTCTCTCTCTGGCTCAGGAGGAGAAGGCAATGGAATCAAGCCTGCCAAGACTATAAAAGCTTTTTCAAGACTGTGATCTGTTAGATAAACAATTTTCCTTCTGCTCCTCATTCCATAAATCCACGCTGACTCTGACTGATTTTTGTGTGTATCTCAGAATATAAAATCTTCTACTAACCACAAAGTAATGGGACCTATTCATCTAATTGATCACCCCTCCACGGTACAAATATCCAAAGCAATGAAGTAAGAGGAGGAATGCAGAGCTGAGAAAGATTAGCAGAGCTATTGCACTTGTTGAAATCAGTCAGTGAATAAGATACTCGCTTTTTAAAGAAATATATATTTTTAGGTTTAAAAAAATGATAGAAGTGTTAGTGTTAAAGGTTTTCTTCAAGACATTGAAGAAAAGACATTTTCATTGCTTTTTCTTTTTACTTTGGAGATACCATATTTTCCTCCTCTTAGGACTTCTTAGCACACTTATCTTTAATCCAGAGAGAGTCAGAATTGTGCAAAATAAAGAAGTATACCCTGACATACATCAACATGGAGCTTTTTCCTTTGGGATTCTCCCCTGCATTTGCATAGACACAGTTTATTGTAGTTGCTTTATAAGAAGGTAAGTAAATAAAGTCAGTTTGCATAAGGAATGTCTTGCACAACTTTTCGTTGTGATGCTCACTTCCTATCTCCCATTCCTTCTCATCCTCTCAAAATCAAGCAATAAAAATTGAACTTTAGTTCAATTCGAACTCTTTAGAAGAGTTTAGTTAATTTTATTTTAGATTTTGAATTTCTTTAGTAATTATTTCAAAAATAGGTGGAGCACAGGGCTTATTTGGTTTTTAACACCCAAAGGATCCTGGGCTTTTTAAAGCTCTTTGTATATTTAAGTAGTATTGTCGTTCTTAAGGTCAACAGAATACCAGTGGTTTAAAATCCATGAAACCCTAGTGACCTGTCAATTTGTAGGCCATTTAGCCAGGTATAGAATGAGTTAAAAGCCCGTCTATAAACAGTCTACCCAAATAGAGTGTGTACTTACTAGGTTCATAATTACACCACATAAATCTTCATTTCCCTTTTTTCTTCTAAAGACAGGACATATTTGTGTTTTCTGTTAAGGCACATGGTTTCTGTTTTCATTAAAATTAGCATGCATCAAGGAAAAGACAATGAAAATTCCTGCTTTATCAAAATACTAATATGAGAATAAGACTATGTTTTATAAGGGAGTGTTAAGGGGGCCAGGGTGTGCTTAGCTAAAATTTGAATGTATAATCATAGTATTTAAGTACAACTTGACAAATGCCATGGAACTACATGGAAACCTTTTGCTAGAAAACTCTTACCTAGCTCTGCACTTTTGATTTTTTTCTGTCTTTTCAATGTTAATATCGTTTCTCTGTGCCATACTCTTTAAGAGTACGTTGCTTAAGTTTAATTTCCTATACAATTCAACTTTAAACCCTATATCCAGTAATTCTTATATTGTTCTCTAACTTCTCATTGCCCTTTTTCTACATTTTGTACATTATATTAAACATATTCATTAACCAGGTATCTCTTATGTGTTAGGTATTTCTTTAGGCTTCCAGATCCTCAATCTTGCCTATTGAGAGCAGATTTAAGTAAAAAAAAAAAAAAAGATGGGTTTTGGACTAAGGCTAGAATGATCCCAGGCATTTTCTTCCTGAATTCCATAGCTTATTGTCTTATTCTCTCCCATAAGCCTAAGCTTGGCACTCAATAGGTGCTCATCCAATTTTTATTCCAGAATTAACCTGATGACTAATGGTTTCTATAATCAAAAAAATAATTTACCTTGTTATGTATACTGCAATAATCAACAGCAGATTCAAAATTAATTTGGTATGATACATGTCTCCCATTACTTATTTTCAGATTATATTTGGCTCTATTCTCCTTGTCCTCAATTAATCCTTTTATGTGTTATTAATCAATATTTATTAACCTTAATATGTGCTTGGCACAGTCTTTGGAACAGTAGGACTCCCCGACCCCCCAAAACACACACATGCTTATAATATATATCATATACGTGTTTTGAGTCCACTTGGGTAAATAATTATACACATATAGACTATTAAGCAATACAGCACTGATATAATAAAAGTCAAAGGCTTATTAAGAATTGTTTCAGTGGTACAGACAGTAAATTATTGGAGTTTACAACAGGTGATCTCTGAGGCTGACTGAGCAGGAACAGTTTTGTGGAGGCTCTGCAGCTTGAGGGGGGTCTTACAGGATAGGTGGGGTTTGGAGACCAAGAACAACACCATCTGTGTGTATAATTCTTTAGACTTCACAAGTGGTTTTATGGGCAGTGTCTGTTTTAATCCTCTCCTATGTGCTGTGAGGAAAGTACTCCCACCTCCGTTTTGTGTTTGAGACAACTCTCACCAGGGTTAAAGGAACTTGCCTCATGCCCTGGAGAAAGCCGAGCCTGCAGCCCAAGACTTCCCACCAACCCTCTTTCCTCTCAATCAGAGTTGCTTCAATATAAGAATGACACAAAGAGAAGTGTCACTGACCTAAACGCCCAGAGATGCGTTTTCATGAATTCTTATAGTCATTTAAGCAAAGATGTTATGTAGAAATCAAAGAGTAATGGACCTTCTATAATGAAGAATTCTGTGATAAAAGATACTTTACTTTTTAATCTAAAGATGGTCCTTGGAGCACACTAGGACAGAGCCTGGGCTGTGGAGACAGACTCATTTGGGTTTAAGAGCCTGGTTCTGTTTCTTAATCGTGAGTTCATTTCCCAAGTTCCATGGAAATGTCTCCTTTCTTGAACTTTCCCTTACTTCTGCATGCATAATTATTTGCTTACTCATCAGCTTTCCTACTGTAGATTTAATTGATTAATAATTATATATTGATATATACATACACACACATATATACACATACATACATATATAGCCATAAATATGTGTGTATGTACGTGTATATATATCTGTATATATTTTATAGTGCTTCCCATGCTGGATATTGTTCTAAGTGATTTATAGACTATTTACTCACTTAATCCTTTTAACAATCCTCTCAGGTGAGTTGCTTTCTATCACTATTTTACTGACGAGGTTACTGAAACACAGAGAGGCTAGGTATTCTGCCAAAGGTCACTCAGCTAAGTGGCACAACTGGCATTCAGATTCAGATAATATCATTCCATAATCCAGGTTTAAATCACTATATTGTGCTGCTTCTCAAATCCTCTCTCTACAATTATTTGATTTGATTGTCCCAGTTATACTGCACACTTGTGAGCTTTTTGTTTTTGTCATGTCTGTATGCCCAGAATATGGCATAGTATGTGGAATATAGAAAAGATGCAATCTAATATGCAAAAATATCAGGTGGATATTGGGCTGTCTGGGAAAGGAGAGGTGCTGTCCAATATGATGCCAGCATAGAATTCCGGGGGAGATAGGGTAGGAGTGAAGAGAGGCAAAGGGAATTCAGGCACGGTGTGTAGATCGCCTCTGGGAAGGCTTGTTATTCTACAATGATCTTTTTGTAGGAAAAGGAAATAATCGCAGATCTTCAGTTGAAAGGATACGTTTCAGAAAAATAGCTGACAGCACATGATGTACTACTTCTGTAGAAGGAAAAAAAGACTGAAGAGTAGGGGATCAATGAGTATATGCTCATAATATTTCAGGAAGGCGACAATGAGACAAAAAATTTGGGTGGAGATGGTGGAGATGAAGAAGCAGCTAAAGAGTTGAGAGCCATTTAGAATCAGCAAAAGTTGACATGGCAAAGGAAGGAAAGAAAAGAATTAGGGAACCTCAAGGAATAGCTATATTCTTATAGCTAAATAGGAGATATGGTAAACTGGTAGGAAAGAAAACAATTTCTAATTTGAACATGTTTAGGTTGATGCACTCTTAAGACGTCTATAGATGGGCCATTGGGTACAAGATTTTATATAGAGTTGGGTATGGTGCTCTGGCATTTAGGAGAAAGATCTGAACCAAAGACAGATTTTGAGAGACATCATTTCTTAAATGATAAGTGAAGTCATTGGGATGATTTAAAAGGTTTATCCCCCCAAAAGGAGGCCAAAGGAAAAGAATATTCTTTGAAATATCAGCATTTGTGGAACAGATGAAGGAGAGGGACCTGCTAAGGAAGCCTGGAAACAACTTCACGTTTTTGGCAAAAAAAAAAAAAAAAAAAAAAAACCCAAAAAACAAAACAACAAAACACAAAACCCCAAACTAATCAACCAATGAGACAAACAAAAACCACACATAGAAAAATATCTGTTCTATTAAATATTCTAGACCAGAGGTTAGCAGACTATGGCCATTGAGCTATATCTGGCTGCCATCTGTTCTGGTAAACAGAGTTTTATCGGAACAAAGCCACACTCATTCATTTATGTATTGTCTATGGCTGCTCTTGCACTGAAACAGGAGTTGAGTAGTTGATTCAGTGATCGTGTAGCTGCAAATCCTAAAATATTTACCATCTGGCCTTTTGCAGAAAAAGTATGCAGACCCCTGTTTTAGATATAAAAACAGGAGGGAAAACAAATATTAGATAAAATGAGGCTTCTACTTAAATTTTCAGAATTATTTTCTATAATACTTCTGTAAGCAAAGACTTTTATAAATGAAAGACCACTACTTCACGTAGGATCAACAACAACAAATATATATCTACACACACACATAATTCTGCAGTAATGACTCTGAAAAAAGAAGGACGGTGAAGCATTTCGGATCTACACTATATAGGAAGGCATTCCTGTATTAAGGAGGGTCGACGGGTTCCTTTCACATCAAAAAGATGAGTTGTATCATCCATCCATGCCAGCTCGTTGAAATTTTCATTTATTCTCGGCTTGTTCCTTATGAAGACACTGCTTCATTCAGATTCATAAATCACTCTAGGAAAATACAGTCAAGAAAAAGCCTTGCATTATGGACTCATTCAATTAGACATTCTGGAGGGCATGATTGCTTTAGGCCTGAAAATGGAATAACATCTCAGTAGAAATTAAAAACATAAAGGAATGTGTTCAGGTAATTGCTTATTAAATTTTCAAAGCCCAATGACAATAACAAGTTTAAATTGATTGCTCAATATGTTTAAACTCGATGATGCTGAAGGTACAACCAGGCTGCACCAGTGAGGCCTAAAAGTAAGCCTTATTGGATAACTAAGTACAGCAGTACCTGTTTGCCTCTGGGGGCTAAGAGAGAATTCAATAAGGCTGGCTGAGATAGTCCAAATTAAATTGGTTAGTAGCAAGCGCAACTGTTCCTAGTTTGTAATGACCCTTAGTTCAGAAGGTTTCAAATCAGCTGTGGGGCTCAGCAATAGAAAGACAAAGGCCCTCATCTTCTTGCCTCTGAAGTGCACTTTCACTGTCATTTATTGTTTTGCCCCAGGAATCTCTCCTGGCTCCCTCCTCCTTCAGCTCACCACTCGCCCATAGACTGGCAATCTGCAACAGTTTAATGATGGAATGAATTTGTCTGATCTTCTGAAATGTCTAATCAGCATACATGTTTCCTTCAGAGGGGTCTTGTAAGTCATGAGGAAGAGTTCCATAAACATTCTGATTGGCCTATATTTAGGGAATGCCTATATCAATGTTAATACGAGACTGCCTCACTGAACTAGAACTTTTAAAATTAAGACTCTTATGCAATCATATTTTTATTATGGATTCTACCTACTCTCTAATCTGTAAATTACAAACAATAAATATTTAATGTTTAAGTTTTTATCTTTGCTCTTTTAGGAAGGCCTTGAAATAAATGTATATCCAGATACTTTCCTACACTATGTCCAGCTATGGCTGTAGTCCCATGCCATATTCAATGATGTACAGCAGTGATCTGGAGACCTTTCACATATGAAACCAATGGCTACATTATATTAACTACAAACTATAAGCTAAACTATGGAAGTCAAACAATATATTTTCAAAATCAGTTGAAATGAGAGCAGGTCATCTCCGCCGGTAAGTGAGAAAATTCAGTTACCGGGAGCATCTGACTCTCCTTGGTTAAACCAGGGCTGAGTACCCTGCACTTTTCCTATCGTTTTTATAGCTGGAGAGACTGGAAATTGAACTGCGACACATAGAGGAGGCAGCTCTGGGTATAGTCACTGTGATGAGAAAGTTTATTGTATACACTTGGAGACTCTTAAAAACTGAGAGTAAACACATCAAAGGAAAAAAGAATGAGGGTAAGAGTGGACTGGAGAATAGTTGTTTGGATGAAGAGAAAATAGAAAAGTAATAGGTGCTCTCAACAGGAGAATTGTGATACACACAAAACTTCTAAAACAGAGTTTGAAATCAAAACGGGCCTTGCTAGAATCTCCTTTTATGATTCAGCACCTGTCTGTGACCACATTTGAGTTGAAAATTCTTAAGGATCAAATACTCCTGTGTGAAAAGCTTCTTTGCTTTACCACCTGTCTTGCAGACATTTCCTGGTCATTTTAAATATAATTGGTGAGTTCTTCTGACTTTTGCTTACACATATGAGTCACAATCGTGATCCTCTACAGATATCTGTTATACACGGTTATTAGTTAGGTAGGCTAGTTGTACTGCTGTAATAAATAACTCCCCCAAAATCCAAGTGGTAAAATCACAACAGTGTTCTCCCTCAGGCCTAGCAGAGGTCCTCTGGGTACTCTGCTCTTTGTGGTCTTCATTCTAAGGCTCAAGCTCTAGAATGGCATTGATCTGGACCTTCTTGGAAAGCCATAGCAAAGGGAAGGAGAGACAGTGGCGAAGTGCACTCTGCCTCTTAAAGCATTCACTTTTGCTCACATTTCTTGGGATACAATCAACCATGTGGTCATGCCAAAATACAAAGGAATTGTGAGCTACAAGTGTCCTGTGTGCCCAAGAAAACTAGAAATGTGTGACGGGGAGTATGGTACAATTGATTACCCACTTAATTATTACATATAAGGTACTGGGAAGGGGTATCTGCCTTTAAGGGGCTTATGTACAAGGTGGTGGGATTATATGCAAATCATATGCAAATGCAAGCTGGCTAAATTAGTGCTCTTGAGGGGCGTCTCCAACAAGTCCTGAGATGGAGGTGCTACAAAGATGTGACTAGATTTGAACACTGGTTCTGCCACTTAATATTCGTATCACAGTGAACAAGTGACTTAATCACACAGATGATTCAGTTTCTTCATCCACACGGTGGGATGACTGATAAGGCTTCTCTCAGGTATTTTGTGAGAATTATATGAGATCATGTGTATAATGTGCTTAGATGACACTTTTGAGTATGAGCAGGAGCCAGACTCTTGACTCATATACTTATCTCTGAGGATCTGGGGTGGCAGAGGAGGCTTTGCAGAATAAGATGAGTTGAGTTTATCCTTGAAGTAAGGCTGAATTTATCTGGCAAAAAAAGAATTGAGGGGAAAGTGAGCAAAGTGTCAGAGTCAGGGTGTGACTGGAGTATTTTGGAAGAGTAGTTAGACCTGTCTGGTTGGACTGGGAAGTTTGTGGAGGGAGCTTCTTTTGTGACAAATCAAGACCCCATGGAAGTTTCTACATACAGGATTTCAAAACAGAGTGTAGGAAAATTAATTTGACAGGATTGCGTAGGATAGATTGGAGAAGCAACAACGCAGAGAAGGAGCTATTTGCGTAAGAAGAGGAAATGGAGGTAGAAAGGAGAACAGATCTATAAGATATTTTGCCCAATAGGAAAACATGAAATCTAGTTAACCATGGTTAACTGACTGTAAGGCAATGAGAAGGAAAGATAAAGAGAGAGACAGTTGAGAGGACTAAAAAGTCTAGTTCTACATGCTTCAACTTCTAAGTACGACAA